CCAAAAGCATGTTTTTCTGAAACCAAAAGCATGTTTTTAACCAAAAGCATGTTTTTCTGAACGTAAGAACTCCTAACACCAGTTATATTATGTAATAAAATCAGTTAAAGTAGTGAATTGCAGACGATTTCCTCGCGATTAAACCCGCATGTTCAGAAATAAATAATGACAACTGAAGTCGAACCAGAATTGGGGGAATCTCTTCTTTCAATCGTCCGGTAAACAAGTCACTCCACAACGCTCGCTGGAAGTAATAGCTTGAAATTAAACAAGAATTAAGATAAAGAATCATATCCGTTTATAGTCAATGAAGCCATATCTAGGTAGGAATTTCATCGAATTAATTTAATAAAAAATCGTTGACTATCTCAAATCAGTACCCGAAAAAACTGATCGTCTAAATTTGTAAGAAACCACTGAAATGGTAAGTTATGGTAAAAGGCAAGCTAAAACGGTTCGGTATTTTTGAGCTTTCTTTTTCCATAACTTATTTTGTTTTTCTTTCTACAACTCAAATGGTTTCGCTTCACGCATTCTGACTTCTTCTGAATTCGCAGTGGGGAGATTTGTGAACCTTTTTGGTTAAAGGACAAAGGAACATTAAGAAATGGAAAAAAAAACCTCAATTCTAATATGGACAATACAAATGAGCAGTAAATTATAAAAAGTATACCGAGACGGTAAGGAAGTTTCGTCATTAAATCAAAATAGTAACTACTGATCGAAAATACAATATAGCAAACTGCAAACCGAAAAAATGCATATGAATATGTTGCTGGCTTATAATAAATCAAAATGCAGACAAATTTTAGAAGAAAACACCCGCACTCTGACATCAATTTCCATGTTTTGAAGTTTAGAGTGTACAGTCTATAAATTCGAAAGTCAAACAGAGCTTCAAATTTGTATCGGCAAACATATTTTTGGCAGGATGGATCAGAGACTCGTCTTAGTGAAGAAACATTTCTTATTTGTTGAAATTTATCTGCGTAACTTCATAATGCAAAATAACCTTCAGTTCAGGATGAAATTCCAATGCATGCGCAAGTCGCTGTCCGGCTCCAACGCCCACAGTATTACCTCGTAGTTCCAGAACTTCTACAGTACCAGCATTCTCCATAACTTTCGCCATTTTTTCAGCTAAAAAAATCTTTCACAGTCCCTTGAAATATATGTAAATTACACATTGTGCTTATTTCATTTGTTTAAAATGTCCAACAAGAAAGAATATATAGAAACTAAATCAGTCATCCTTACTGAATGATTTGGCGGAAGTCAACTTCCGCCAACTAAATCTTCATCACTTGCGGTGGTAAATTTTAGAAATACGTTCCTTACAACACTGATGGAATCATTAGCTTTATAAAAACATTACTAGAACTGAAACCATAATTTAAAATCCTGGTATGAAATTACATGGAAATCTCTTAGTTCTAAGGCTTAATCGTCATCCTTAATATTCACAACTTCTCTCACCTTGCAAATTCCTTTCATCTCTTTTTCCTTATAATATGCATATGCAAAGAAATTTATAGGCCAAGAAAGAAGACACAGCACAAACCATCAGTTTCGCTGTCTAATTTTTGCTGTTCGTCACGGAATGAAAGCGTCCATTCTCCATTTATCTCGACCGACTTTTTCATCACTACTCCTTCCTTCACATAATTTATTACACTTTCAAAAAAATTCTTGGGGTAATGAAATTCTCAGTGCTGATTCAACAGAAGAA